AAGCACCTCATGATATAGAAGGAAAACCAACCCGCCAAGAAAGAGCTATCCATATAAACCCATTATAGGTAAGTGATGGTGAATCATTAGTGGTCCTGGATCGATCTACCTACTACCTTGGAGTAAGCAATACGAAGGGATCCCATCGTCTGCTCTTCAAGATTCGCCCCGTGTTGGTAAAATCGGTTCTCTCTCATTCATTTCACATTTACAATAACAAAATTGCTTCACTACAAAGTACTTTTACACACCCATCTGTTTAATCAGATCCGCGAGCTTGTTGGCTTCCGACTTATAATCGAGAGGCGTGGCGCCCATGACCTGATAACGGATTCTATATTTCACCCCCAAAGAGATTAGTCCATGCGATACATTCATGACAGGGATAACCAAAAGGAAACTTACCGTTGCGTATCACCAAACGTATCCATCTTGGCACGGCACCTGAAATTCAGCTTGCGGCAGTTGGCCGCGTCGAACTCGGCCGCGAGTCGACTATCATCCATCTCGCGGAGCTCCATCAGCTCGTCGGCCGACTTGCCGTTCATGATGGTCCGCGCCGTGTCATCAAAACAGCTGAGCCACAGCTGGCCGGTGTGGTCATTCACGTTGACGCTCATGATGTAGCGGTACTGCGGCCGGTCGTGGCTCATGTTGCACTTCTCGCAGCGCCAGGTGCCGTCGCCCATGTCCGTCACCTTCTTATTACAGCCCTCGTTGCGGCAAGCCGGATAGGCAAAGTTGTCCTGCTTGATGTAGACGATGGTCGCTTTCAGGGAGAAGTAGTCTGGGTTCTCCATGCCGAGCTTCTCGTCCTTGACCTGGGAGATGTCCTTCGAGTCATCCTTGCGGCCGGTGGCCGCGCCGACGCCGGCCATGCTGCTGTGCGTGGCAAAGTTGTCGTTGCGGCCCGAGGCGTCGTACCAGCCCTTGAGGCGGTGCGCTTCGGCGATGTCCGGGTCGACGGCCATGGTGCCGGACGATAGGAGGGACAAGCTCCGACCGCCGAAATCGCTCACACGGGTGCCCTTGAAGGCGATGATGGACTCCGGGTTCGCGTCAAAGTTGGTCGCCGTCTTGCCCCAGATTGTCACGCGCACCGAGTAGCCCGTGTCGTCGACCAGTGTCAGCTCGCGCTTATCGTACGGCTTCTGCGTGGTCTTGGACGTGATCTGCGATACTTCCTGGACCTCCTTCAAGACACCGATAATGTCGACAGTCGCGTCCTTTTCGACCTCCTGCAGTTCCTGGATGTTGCAGAAATTGAAGCGTATTTGCGGCACCGAGCTCTGGTCCTCGGCCTTCTCGATGACGGTATCACGCTCAAAAGTGAGCTCGTAGTCGTTGGGGAGATTGCTGAACTGCTTCTTGGCAAGCTGGACCTTACACGGGCTGGAAATGTAGTACACTTGACCTTCTTGTAACAGGTCATAGTACTGGTCGCACTGATCGTTGAAGCCTGTCGCTTTGATCTCTCCGCTCTCGTCGAGAAGGTTCACGCTAAAGAGCTTGCCCTCTCCGCTTGCCTTGTGCCAGGTCTTGATTTCCGACTTGCTCGTCACTCTAGCCTTGATCGTCCACTTGTGTGCGTATGGAGAAAGAGCCTCGATGGGATAAAGTGTGCTTGTGCCATGACTGCCACCGCCGCCGCCGCCGCCGCCACCACCACCAGCTGCGCGCGACGGCATCTTCGCAACGGGTTGTTTGTATTCCTGGGTGACCGGTTCGTGTTTGACGCCGCCACCGTAAAAGCCGGCGCCGCCGATAGTGGTATTCTGCGGCGGGGCGTCTGCCTTGGCCTCGAAGGCTACGGGTTCGCCTATCTTCTCTGGAGTGCCGAGGGATTCGATGACTTCGAGGTCAAGCACGATCAGGATACTGGAGCCCCTGGTTAGTGACTATGATCTGATGGTTGATGGGGTTGTAGAACGTAGGTACTTTCTGCCCTTGAGCATCTGTGCTTGGTATTGCTTGAGGCGTATGATGCAACCACGCTGAAGCTGGCCCTCGTGGACCACGCGGTTCGCCTGGGTGGCCAGCATGCACTGTACATAGTTGCGGATATCGCTGAGGACGACGCGGTACCTGTCGGGCGCACTGGCGCCGGGTGCTTTGGCGTCGAGGGTCTTGACCTGGAGAACCTGCAAGACTGGGACCGGGAATCGGGCCGCGCCGTGGTCGGGGTCCGTGAAGATGGCTCTAGACAGAGAAGTCAGATTATCATCATTACCACAGTCATCGTCATAACCCGGCTGGAGGAGGGGTGAGAGCAAACTTACTCAAACGCGCCTTGCGTTATTTGTTGCGCAGCCATGCTGATGCTATGCAGCTTTTTGCATCTATCTTGTTGCGACAGACTGGACAATGGGCTGGTATTTGTGCTTGCAGCAACTTGGATGCAGCAGTGGAGATATTTTGAGGGAAGTACGGATTAGAGGGGACGAGGGGACAACGCGTTGGGGAGCGTGGTAGCGCGTCGAGGCGAGGGGCAAAGGTTTAATTGCTAATGCCACGCACAGTGTGGATCCTTTGTGATATCGCACTATATTGCCACAATTCTGACAACGATAACAGAACAGCAAGCAGATACTGTGAATAGGTAAGGTTACCTAGCACGTGCCTAGGTACCTAGGTAATACATCACAGAACCGACTACTATCTTTCAGTTCATGTCTGTTGACTGCCTGTATTGGCAAATATATTCCTCATGATAATCACGCCCTTGAGAACGACCTGAAGTACATGGAAGAGGATGCTCGAGATAGGCTCTACCGTCGTCAACCACCACCAGGACCCAAGAAATTCGCCGTTCTTTCCGGGGCCGGGGAAACACTTCCTGAAGCTGCCTCGCGTAACTTACAGCTCGCTTCTTCATGGAAATCCAATGTATACCAAGGAACGCCTTCCTCCACTGGTGGGCTAGCTATAACAAGGAACGAGGTGGGGTGTAACGGGTATCCAGCCTCTCAACCCCGCCATATATCGGTAAACGATGTACCGATCAGTCGAGCTCTCATGTTTATAAAAGGTGTAGACAGGTAGTACCTCGAGTCCGAAGTCGTTCAAATACGTGTAAAGAACGAAATACAAATAAAAGGATGGTGGTTAAACTCACAGCACACCTACCCTAATAACTGTGGCTTGTCTATGCCCCTCTTCCTCCAAAACGCCAAACCAATACACTCACCGCTCCAACCGAGGAAACTCACCAACTGATCACCGACCTCCTTCAACCACCATGGGCTCTCACTCGGAACCCGGAGATGGGTACTGCCTAATCGACTCGCACATGCACCTCTTCCCTGCATCCGAACTGACCACGCTCAACTGGTACAATCCAAAAGAAAACAGCCCGCTCGCCGACCAGCGCTCCGTGGCCGAGTACAACGCCGCCACCGGCTCGCCGCCCAATCTGCAAGGCTTCGTCTTCGTTGAAGTGGACCGCAAGAACGGCGGTGACTCCAAAGAATGGACCTATCCACTGCAGGAAATCGCGTACCTGCGCCGCGTCGTGACCGGCACCCCAAAAGACGGGGAAGGCCACACCCCCGAGGACGCCCGGCTATGTCTGGGCCTCGTGCCTTGGGCGCCCGTCGTGCTCGGCGCCGACCAGCTGTCCAAGTACTTAAGTCAAGCCGAGAAGGAGGCCGGCCCCGAGACGTGGCGCAAGGTCAAAGGGTTCCGGTACCTGCTGCAGGACAAGCCGAACGGCACCGCTTTGAGTCAGGAGTTTATCGAGGGGCTGAAGCTGTTAGGTCAAAAAGGTTTCGTGTTTGATCTCGGCGTGGATCAGCACCGCCGGGGCCGGATCCAGCTGGAGGAGGCCGTCGAGATGATTGATCGGGCGCATGAGGGCGTGGAGAAGGAGGAGGAGAAAGTGGTGTTTATCCTGAGTAAGTGGACAGACACACACCGTTCTTTTTTCTTGATGAAGATTTGTTGATTAATTGACGGAGAACAGACCACCTCTGCAAGCCGGACATGACCATCATCAGCCAGACGGATCCGTCCTTCATCGCCTGGCGCACCGCTATGTTCACCCTCAGCAAGTGCCAGTGCACTTACATGAAGCTGAGCGGCTCCTTCAGCGAGCTGCCCGACCGGCTCAAGGCGCGCCCGGCCGAGGACATCTTTGCCGCCATAATCCCGTGGCTCGCCGTGGTCATTGCAGCCTTCGGTCCGAGTCGCATTATGTTTGGGAGCGATTGGCCCGTCTGCACCGTCGGCGTCGGCGACGATGCCTGGAAGAAGTGGGTCAAGGTGGTCGATATGGTTTGTGATCTGGCCGGGCTGGGGGAGGAGGACCAGAGGATGCTTTGGGCGGGGACGGCGAGGGAGGCGTACAAACTTGATATTGGTAGTAGTTAGCTGAGTAGAATTGAAGAGATTAGAAGGGAGGTTGTTTTTATGAGGAGTGGTCTTTAGTCGCTCATGTTTGGTCAGCAGCCGTGTAAGCCAGCCAGCCGTCCGTACCTTGCATGCACGATGTTGTACTCGGCGACATTGCTTGATTGGGTGGGTTACCTTAGCATAGGTCTCTCTCAGGGACTGGAGTTTTTAAAACAAAAATAGCCGGGCCTGATGATTTATTTCCGATACATCTTTCCAAAATGAGGTGCATGTATCAAAATTCTGTTCATCCTGACTCAAATTCATATGAGCTTGGGTGTCAATTGTCAACAGCCTACTCCTTGAGGTGAGTTGATATATTTTTAGTGCTAGATTCAGATGACCACAACCATGCACGTTCAGCACTTAACTTCTCGGCTGACTTTTAATACATAGTCTCTCAGCTTTAGGCCTAAAACACCAGCGATCATTAGTAAGAGAAGATGAATTTTATCTCGATCTCAGTTGCAAGCCCAGAATTAGTGTACACGATACTTTGCCTGGTGCCTCATTATCCACTCCCCAAGCTCCACTACCCTCTCTGAGCTCACTCCATCCGCCATGACTCAAGCCACGATACCTTTCCAAATTCTCATAAATCACACCAAAAAGGGCGTGTGGCTCAGTTGGTAGAGCGTTCGCTTAGCATCTCGACGGCTTCAAAACCCGGCGGAGAAGCAAAATATTGCGAAAGGTCCTGAGTTCGATTCTTAGCTCGTCCATCATCATCACAGTTTACAGATATCATCATCTGTTGATTTCCTTTTTTTCTCGTTTTTCCTAGAAAACGACCGTTTTGAAACTTGGAGGGAGACCGGTGCTTTAGCAGGTCATTCCATGTATCAAGCCGGGTGCGGGCCGATTCGGCCCGGGTTCAGGTCCATCCCCGGATCCTACCCGCGACTTGAGCATCTTCTTTTGCCTCTTCTTTTGCCTCTTCAGCCTTTGGTTGGTACGGATTTTGAAACAGAACAAAAATCGTGTTACTTTATCTCCGACCTGCTTGGTATGCAGTGTTCAAGAGGAAGAGGAAGTTGGGAGGTGTCTGGTCTACTTGCAAAGAGACCCAACCTACGGAACACAAATTGCGGCGCCTATCTGCGCTTACCTATATCATTATAATCTAACTGAAGCGCGGAGCGTTTACCTTATAAGGCGTGTTCCTGTTAAAAGAGGAGTATTGTACCTCGCCATATGGTGGTGGCCGGTTGGGAAGGCCGCCTCCCGCCGCGAAGGATCCTGTTTCGATCTCCGCGATCCTGGGACCAACGACCGACCTGAAAGCGGTTGCATATCTATGTGTAAAATCTACCCCAGACAGCAAGAGAGAAAGGACCTGGCCTGCTTGTTGCGATGTTTGTCTGTCGAATATCCGGTTGTTTTACGCACTAGTTTGGTGCAGTGGTGTGGAAGGTGATCGTTTCCGATGTAAGCAATCAGGGTGAAATTCGGCGACACTTTTGGGCGCCATTCCATCCTGTTACTCTCTCGGTTCACGCGGTAGCTAATTTTGCACGGATGCCAAAGATCCTCTAACACGCCCGGTGGAGAATCGCTGTCGCAAGATTAAGGCCAGGGCACGATCGTGTGACTCGTCTTCACTGCCTTCAGCGACGGTTAGGCTATTTTTTTCTTGTGATTGTTTCCCAATGGCGACAGGATGTTGGGATGGCCACGTACGAGCCAGCTCGTGGCTAGGGGTGGTGATGCTTGTTTGTTTTGACCAACCAGGGGTCATCTCGTAAACCGCCGGGGAAAATGTAATGCTGGCCAAGCAATCAATGACGGAGGTGGATGTGAAGTTTGGCCGTAATTTCCATCGGCAGTCGACATGTCAAGTTTGCAACCTGCCAGCTCTTTCAACAGAAAAGAAAGCCAAGGGGCAACGCTTGGGCAGGCGGGACGGAACAAGTCAAATGACATGGCACTTCTGCGAGAAGATCACAGCAATCAACCGTTCCATCTGCCAGCACACACACGAGCTGCAGACACGGCATTGGAGCTTCCTTGATCTCCAGCTGCTGCTTGGCGTTGCTCCCGGGGAGGCGGAAAATCTGGGGAAAAGCGGTCAAGTTACGGGTTAATCGAAATCGGTCTGCAAGCCTGCATCACTAGCCGGAAAACTGCCCCGACATCCGGTAAATCCCCAGCTGTCAAGGCGCTGCAGGGGTGCTTTTAGGTGGATGTCACAGTGCAGAACCTGACACGTAATTGTCCGGGTTCCAGAAGAATTCTTCAAACGGCCGAGGCATTGGGCGAGGATGATGAAGCAAGCAGGAACGGACGGACGGGAAGATCGTCGATATCGGACGGACAGGCATAATAAATCAAGGAAATAATCCCATATATGTTGTCGTAAGCATTCCTCCACCGATTGTGCGAGTTTGCAAAACTCGGTGATGGCTAACTGTGGTGGTGAAGTGTTCCGCCAACTTGAGTCAGTTGTGATTCAAGCTGTTTTCGGATTCCGGGCGGCGCTCCAATGCATTTCCCCCACGTAGTTGCACGAAACACCGGAGTCGGGGGGCCCAAAGCTGACGAGACTCGACGGTTGGGCATGCTGCTTTGCCGCCTTCATCATGATACTGCATGTTAAGAATAGGTCGGGGCACGACAGGCACCGAGAGTGCAGTACACGTACAAGACGCCGTGTGAGCAGGAAAGCCCGGCGTTGTATGGAGATCCATAGATGTTACAGGCCGGCCCAGACATGAAAATGCCTATGGTTATCATTATTAGTGCTGGCACGACCCAAATTAAGCCGACGGAAACTCCGCCGCGATCTTGACTTGGCCATGGATCTTATGGCATGCATACGGCGGCCCCCAGATCTGTCGACGCCTGTTGTGTATGGTGGTGGTGGTGGTGCTCGATTGATACAAACTCGGACACTCTCAAACGACTGGCGGTGAGGGAGCATGATGCGACTGCGGTCTAATCATTGTGAAAGGTGACAGAAGGGAGTCCGACCAGTCTGATAGGATCATGAAAAAAAGGCCGAAACCCAATCTGTGAGCTGCCGAGCTCATTAGGTAAATGTCGACCAATTCAAGTCCCTGCTTTCCTTCCTACCTTTTCATCCTTTCCCTTCCGTGTTTGGCTGAAGGCAGTCGCAAACCAGCCGCATCGTGGCCGACTTTGGAGTGACCGTGATGGAGTGGCTTTTCGGAATTCGGACGAATTAATGGAAGTACCCCACAAATGGAAAAAGCCCCCTAGCCTGAGAAATTCGCCCGGGCTGGAATCCCCAGTGACCCAGACCTTCAACCCCAATCAGGGCAAGTGGTGAAAGCGCGGGTTGCGGGTTAGCGGGATCTGGGGGCCTAGCGTGGCTGCCCCTGTCGCTGCCCCACGGGGAGAAAATTTGGGTTGCCGCCAAGTTCCAACCGCTGAAGGCCAGCACACGCCCAGCAGCTGTTCCTTCCACTCGCATCATCCATCGATCCATCCGCATCATCCCTTTCCAAGCTCCAATCCAACCGGTCAAGGCCAACAACAGCTGGTTTCCCTGGCCCGCGCTGCTCTCGGTCAGGATTGGAACGCGATCAAAGCAACGGTACCACCACTTAGGCACTGGTATGCACGCCCACCGCCGGTTGAGTCACTCCATCTCCCCACGGTGATGACCAACTAGGTAGACTCGAAAAGTGTCGACTGCTAACTAAGGTACCTACTCGTCTCACCGGCGGGATGCTGCGGCGGTCGATGGTTGTTATTCCGCCGTCTCCGGGTGCTCATACTGCCTGGTAAAGCACGCAAGGTCGTGCTTCCCGTCTTCCAGACGGCTCTCGTCATGAACGGGAGTGGCGTTGCGGCCAAATCACCGACAAAGTCTGCGTTACTCCGACTCTGCCCTGATTCAGTCAGTCAGCATCATGCCCCGGGTCAAGTAATCCGTATTTGCTTCCACTTCCAATGTTCTGTCGGACAAGAAAATAGAAGCAGCCCAGCAGGCAGCTGAACCCGACATGTAACCTGTCGGCAGGTACAAGGAAGGATTGGTGCTTCCTAGCCTTGTCGGTGTATCAGGTACATGCCTCCATGCGCCGTGGTGCTTCTGTCCAGCAGGGCAGCTCCAGATTTTCCCAGCGATCCACCGTGGGCCGCGCCGTGTTTTAGGGCATTCCTCCTCCCCCTGATGGCTGATGCCTGCATTGGACTGTTCCTGGGACATGGGGCATTCCTGTCTGCCTTCTGCCTTCTGTCAGTGGTGCCGTGCGCTCCAGCGTCCATCCATGTTTGACGCCGTTTCTGGTTTGCGAACATGCCTCATCATCGTGCTTGCCAGGGAGAATGGCGTGGTCCGATTAAGATGGAATCCGGGAGAAGATCCAGCGTCGGCGGACACTAGCATCGTTGCCCCCAGCCCGCCTTAACAATCCATGGGATGATTGCTTTTTTCCTGTCAGGGCACACTCCGTGCGCGGTCGTTTGCATTTTTATGAATGAAAAAAAAGGACATGCCTCCGTACCCCCTTGCGGATAACCAGATTTCCAAGACAATCTCGGAGCTCTACAGAAAGGGGAAAAAATAAAATAAAAAATAGCCTGGGGTCGTGGTACAATACAAAAACCCTGGTGCTTCCCGCCTTCCCCAGAGTTTCCTCAATTTCTTCGCAATCTATCTTGGTCGCCCTGCTTGCTCCTGCTGTGCTGTTGTCAGCTTCCGTACCACTTCATCTGGATCCGACCTGCCACATAAAGAACCCGGTTGGCCTTCCTGAGCCCAACTAGCCTTCCCCATACTGTTCTTTACACTGCCACTTGTCAAACGATCCATCCCGCCGTGGTGTGTTGTGCCATAGACGCGCACAAGGAAATCAGCTTGCCATCAGCCTGCCCATCCATTCGCCGGGAACGACAACCTCGGACAAGACTAAGAGTCGGACACAGACCAACAGCCTCGTCTCCCCTTTCGGCCTGCCACGAGCTTCCTCGGGTATTAATATCGACCCCAGCTCCTCTGGCACTTTTGTTCTTTCTTTCGCTCTTTCGACAGCAAACAAACAAAAATCCCTACTCCAAAAAAAAAGAGATTTTTTTCTCAATCCCACTTGGTCTTTTGTTGTTCTAGACCTTCAGTCTCCACATCATCGTCCACAATGCCGTCCCAAGTCGCTCCCATCAATATCGCCCCGGCCGCTGGCTCCCGCCGGACCGCAAACCTGATGCCCTCGCAAGACCTCTTTGCCAGCCTCAACGCAACCCTGGCCTCGCGGACCGGCCAGCTGGTAACGCCCATCCATACCATCCAGGAGAACGATTACTCGGTCCCGGCCCCGCCGCCGCCGAGTCCCGTCAGCTACAGGGACCACTGGCCTGCCTCGTTCCGCCGCTAAGAGCTTGTCTGCTTAAGCTTCAATCCTGATTCCTTTTTTTTCACTTTATACCATGGCGTCGCGAAGGGAAACCGGCAGGGGTTTATCATTATCAATATCATCTCATACAACAACAACAGCAACAACACATAATCACCTCCTCTGATTGAGCACCTTTGTACAACTACAAACACACACAGAGAGACACGCACACGCACACTTTACAACACCACGACATCAGCCGGACGGTTGTTTTCTACATTTTCACGGGAGTTTACAAAGGTTCCAAGACTTTTCCTCGGTTGCTCGGTTCATCCCTATGGATGGGGCACAGACAATCCATCTGTTTCGGCGGGCGGGAGATACATTGGAAGGCAGGCACGGGACCGGGACATACACAAAAA